AAAGATCAACATCCGGTGCACAAAACAAGAAATGCCTCAGAGGCATCAGATCCTCTTCCAATCTTGTGTCCCAGAAAAAATATGGGCAGATTTCAGCGCAAATCTGTGTCAAGAAAAAAGACCAATGGCCGCCGTCATTCTGCATTTCCGGGGTGACCAACGAAAGAATTACAGAATAGTACTGTACAGTTATACCGATAATCTGTCAACGAAGATAAATAGTCGCTTCTTCTATGATAACTGGAAATTATCTAGATTCCCAGATGGTTTGAAATGCTTCAAGGATACAATATTTGCGCAGAAGGGAATTATTTTTATAATCAAATAGAAACGAGGAAAATCGCTTCTCCTGGATACATGGATATAGTTTCAAATACTCCATCGGCACAATTTTTTGAGTATGGAATTATCTTTAAAAAAAAAAAGAATGTATGGCTCTATACTGTATACTTAATTGAATTTTCATGATCATCACGGCTAAGGAAAAATTCCGATGACAAAAAACGAAGTCCGATGCTTTCGTGTGAGTTAATTTTGAAAATGTATACGTGGTGGTGTTGATAAAAATGGCAAAGAGATAAACACAATTTTTAATACACGATCGGAAATATGAAGAGAATCAGATAGAATTGTCCATCTTTTCAAAATGATGCAGATACAGTTGCGATTAATGTACATCTAATGTACCTTTTTAAACACCGCTAAATACAGTATATCAAATTTTAAAACTTAAAGATACATTTTTCAGTTCAAAATATGTATAAATTGGCAGGAGTGTTTTTTTTTCTAAAGAAGAAATCAGATTTTCCTGCAAACTCCGTGACAAATTGAGGAAATCCGCTGTGCGTTTCGATCTGAATACAGTATTAAAATCTGCGAAGACTGTAGATGGTGCAGTGATACATCTCAACAAAGTGAAGTTGTTACAGTGCTTCATTTTTTACATTTTCAGGCCAATTAATGAAATTACGTCTATAAAAAATTGCGTAATTTGAATGAATAAAAAATGTATTTTTACTTGGTAAATTTTATAAGCTCACCTGGAAGTCACAGCGGAAAAGCGTCCGGTTGCAGCCACCATAGTTCAAATGGTACAAATATCTAGTGAAGGTCCTCTCGGGATACCTTCCACACAACATCCCGTAGCTGTCTTCATTGACGAACAATCTCGACAAACCCACCCAATTGGTGACTTTAAAAAGCAAATATTTCATACTGCAGGATTCAAAATGCAAAAAAAAATAAAATTTCATTTTGGGACCCACAGACGAGCACCAAGAATCCGACGAACGACATTCCGAGCACGAAAGTGAGAAGAGTTGGAAAATCTGTACAATGCCTATCCGTGTAGTCGGGATAATGCGATTTTGACTCTTCTGTCGCCCAAAAACGTTCTGAAAGTTCATTATTGGAATAATTTCCTTTTAATTCAAAAACGGAAAAATAAAAAAAAGTTTTCAGAATCACCGATAATAGATGAACTCCCGGCAAGGATCCATGTAAATCTTTACAATTATGTATACAGTATATGCTGAATTCCATTCTGGTATCACGTCAGAAAAACAAGGGCGATAAGAAGCTTAATTTTGGTTTTGAAATGAAGAGCTGTACAGTGAGACCCCAAGATGCGGACCTAATTGGTGCATCAATAGTGTCCCTAAGTCAAAATGTCCCTAATTTGTGCCACATTATCCCCTAGACTTACATTATATAATTTTTAATTGGTGTTTTATGTACAAAATACTCACCATAATTGCATAAAATGAAAAATTGATTTTTGTACCTTCCTTTATTGTCTTCAATTAATGAATGGAAATTGACAAAGTAAGAATGCTCATTTATTTGGGTTTCCATAATTCCATGAAAATAAAAATTGTCTCCCAAATTAAACTGATTCCAATCAATATATTTCAACACAATATGGGGATTTGAGGAATTGAATACTGATACCTCTGTACACTACATAGAACTGTTGGCTGTGAAAATAATGTTCAAGTGAAAAAGAGAGAAGGAAGTCCCTCTCTGCTTGGGGTGATTTTTTAAATTAGCTAAATGGATGGTAAATTGGTGAGAGAAATGATCAAGAGCTTTTTTAACATCAATTTTATGGTTGGAAATATCTGTTTCTTGTAATTTGACCTGAAATGTATTTGCAATTTTTCAACAAAATGTCCCTATGTCAAGTCAGTGTCCTCATGTTGGGCCTTAATTTTATTAATTTCTCATAAGAAAATAAGTGTCCCTATGTCAAATTGTCCACAGGTCAAGGTGTACGCATGTGGGGGTCTCACTGTATTTTGAGTGCCGATATTTCTGGGTCAGAATTATCTGATTAAATTTGAGGTAATTTGCGAGACCTACAACAAGCTTATGATTTTAAAAATTATTTTCTTCAGTATAGCGGCTATAAATTCGGAAAATTCTTGCTCTGGGGATGACGGTAGATACACTAGTCTTTACAACCTTTCCAGGTTATTTGCAGAAAAATATATTGCAATTAGGTCCTGTTTAATTATACTGTATATAAATATACATATAAAAATCCTGACTTTGGCAAACAAGAACTGCAACCCAAATAAATGAGCATTCTTACTTTGTCAATTTCCATTCATTAATTGAAGACAATAAAGGAAGGTACAAAAATCAATTTTTCATTTTATGCAATCGAATTGAATTATGCTACTCACTATACTTGCTGTTCTGAAAGATTAATTTCGAATTTCTCAAGCCAAGAACTAAAGAAATTTCTAGCACAATTCAAATTACATGAAAAAATCAATTTTATTCGTCTAAAGTCACATTACTCTATTTTACTTCCAATTTAAATTTCCGTGCAATTGCAACTCGAGAATTTATTCCAGTTGAACTTCATAGAATTTTATAATACTGTAAAAAACATTAGTCTAATTTAGTCTCAGTTTGCTTCAAATAGTACTTATTGTAAAAATAGTGAATTTCCAATGCCCGTTAAATAAAGACAAAAATTTCAAGTTGATTTGACACATTCTTCATTGAAGGAAAAAAATACATATCAAGAAAATAACTCGCCGAAATACTTCGGAAAAATACGTCGTTTTGGAGTGGGCTTTTCTTCGACGTCCCCGTAAATCCCAAATAGTGCCCTGTAGTACGCCGATGGGTTTTCGATCTGTTCTCGATGACTCAGCAAATGCGAAGAAGGTTTGTTTGTTTTTGCAGCTTGCAAATTATTTGGATCTCTGCTGTGGTCCACATGCTTAAATCGGATTTCCAGCTGGGTTTCTCTACGGCTCTGTCAATGGGCAATTAATCATTAGAAATAATTTTCTTTACCGTGTCAAACTTCACAAGTTCTTTCCCCATATTTTTTGTGGCTAAAGTTACAGCTCCAATGTAAATGCGTGGGGAAATATTTATTTGCAATATTTAACAAAAATTAAAGTGAACCGCATTTTTTTCTTAAAAGATCTTTGGATAGACTGCATTGAAGATTATTAGATTGCGCTAAGCCTACTTCTTATAAAAGTATATAGACAATATGTGAAGCTTTTTCAAGAGGAAAGTCAAAGTAATTTCTTCTTATCGTCGTTCCTACACTGAGAAAATCGCAAATATTTGCTTAATCGAACACATAATCTAATTTAAAATGAATTAAGGGGTCGTTCATAATCAATCACAATTTCGTATGCAGTATTACTATCCCAAGTGCAATTGAAATTATCAAACGAAGTTTTACGATAGTACGTGAAAGAAAATTGAAACTTTCTCATGAAACTCGGGTTTCAACATTCATTCAAAATTATGAAAATTTCGTCATAGGATTTAGCTAGAATATAAAAAAATATTGCATTGCTCAAAATATGTTATATTGTATTTTATACCCGAGGTATCAAACGGGGTTTTTAGGATTTGCTCTGCTTGTTTTCAAAATTCTTTTTCCAGAAAGAAATAGAACTTGTGAATCATTTGCTGATTTTGGTGGTCCGTTTGTTCCTGATGAAAAATTTAAATCCATTTTAATTTAAATTTAAATTTAAACGATGAATTTTAATTTTAATTTATGTTTTTTCTGATACAGTACATTATTTTTTTGTGGAAAATTTAAGGCAGGATACTTTGCTTACTTGCGAGTTTTGATTAGAATTTTCTTCAGCAGACTGAGTTTGTGTTGTATGCACAAAGTGACTGTGCAGGCTATTTCTTGTTGCATTGGTCGCCTCGTTGGATTTCTTCATGATTTCAAGTTTTCTGCATCATACAGAAACTCAAATTCCCCGGAATAAAACTACTGATCAATATTTCTTCAACAGAAAAAAAAAACCTGAACACCAACAAAGATTAATAAGGGAATTGATGAAGGTTGGAACTCCTCTCACTCTGATTTCTCCACCTTGAACATGTCAGAATGATCCACATCTATTTTAAACTCCAAAATTAAGTCCTGGGTCCCCCTGTTGATTTCTTGAGAAATTTTTATCCCTTCCTGAGGCATAATTTTCGTGTCAACCACTCTTTTGTATATTTCCATGGTGAGCAAACATGGCATTGAAGCGAGTCAACAAAGAGTTGTCCAAGTTCAGGAAGGAGCCCATTGCAGGTATTGAAGCCAATCCAGTGGGAGACAATCTGCTGCACTGGAAAGCCAGTGTCAAGGGACCATCTGGTGAGAACTTGGTTTTTTTTCAATCAAAAATTGTTTTAAAACCTCAGGTTTGGTCGAATGATTCACCTCCATTATGATTTTTCACTCTGAAAAGAGAGTCTCTCTATGCCAAAAGTTATTTCGAAGTTTAGATCGCAATCACTCTTTAAAATATTCCATGCCCAATAAAAGCAAAAAAAAAGAAGATTTTGATCTGTAACTGACGTGACTGCACTAGGTTAACACATGCCACTGACTTAAATAATATGAAAAATGTCTAGCTGACCACAGGAATTTTGTTCTTTTGCTTTACATCCGCGTTAACAATCTTTTTTTTTTTAAAGTTAAAATAAATTCGGATAAAGTTAGCATTCAATTCATAATTCCTATAAGGGCTTCCCCCCCCCCCCAAGACTTATGCATTTGAGTCAGAGATGATGCAGTCTGGTACTCAAATGATAAAATGTTGCAGATTTTTTCAAATTTATTTTCAGTTATAATAGCAGCAAAGCATTTCAATGTGAAAATACACATGCGAAGTTATAGAAAACTTATGTTGATGAAATTCGAAAGATTTTTTGAATCTCAAGGCAGAATTTCAAATACCGTATTTACTCAAGTATACCAGCATGTGCCCTCAAGTAAGGCGCGCACCCAGGTTTTTTAGCTGGAAATTTTGCTAAAATCGTATCCCCAAGCAAGACGCGCACCCCTATTTTTAGTGAATCTAAAACCACAAAATTTCAAAGATAGAAACAAAAAATTTGACTTTAGACATGAATTGAACAAAAATCTGATCAATTTTCAACTTTTTCAGTAGAAACAAATTTTCTTCGTACATTTGTTCCTAATTTCTCCATTATAATCAAGTATAATTCACACCTACTTTCTTAAAACATCTTGAAAAATTTGTACCCGCTTATGACACGCAGCCCTTTTTTTCTTCTGAAATTTGAGAAAAAAGGTGCGCATGGTACTCAAGTAAATACGGTAAGTCATTTTGCCAGGACCTCACAAAATTCAGCATATCAATGCAAAGCTTTTCCAAAATATTTTACTTTTTTTGTTGGAGGCACATTTAAATGAAATGAAATATAATGAACTGAATCGCATTTTCTGATTGTGTGGTATTGTTAAAAGTCCTTTTTTTTTATTCTATCTCAAAGGCACTCCGTATGCTGGAGGCACTTTCTACTTCGACATCAAGTTTCCTTCTGATTACCCATTCAAGCCGCCAAAGATCGAGTTCATCACCAAGATTTATCATCCAAATGTGAACAGTAAAGGGGAGATTTGTCTGGATATTCTCAAGAAGCAGTGGTCACCAGCATTGACTATATCAAAAGTATTACTGTCACTGTCATCACTGATGTCTGATCCAAATCCCGATGATCCCCTGGTGCCTAGTATAGCCAAACAGTTTAAGAAGAACAGGAAGGCCTTCAACAAGGAAGCTGTCAAATGGACCAAGAAGTATGCCATGGGCAAAAAGAAGTGAAGCAGCAGTTCCTTTGCCAAATTTATCAGCAAATGTTATTATCCTCTTATCAAGTATATTCGCTTTATTGAAAAGATATGCCGACTGTGAAATGTAGGGATTATGGCCCATACATCTGAGGTTTTTGAACCTTTTTGATTTGCAGACTCGCTCATATTTGAAAACAATATCAAATATAATAAAAAAATTTATATTTCTGGAGTATTCACCAGCATGCTGGGTTTACGGATGAGTTTTCATGAAAAAAAAATTGTTCATGTGTTTTATTCTGGTGATGGAATTTGTTTAAAACATAATTTTATTTATTTGGTTATGATCCTGAGAAATACATGATTTTAAGAAAAATCCAGTGCTGATCAGTCATCAAGAGGAAAAAAATCAGTGTGAAATTATCTGCAGGAGAAAAATTGAAACATTTTTGCACAAATTTGAAGCTTGATTGTGTTGAATTCAAGTCATGCATAGCTTTCGAGTGGATATGATAACATATTCCTCTTGAATAAATGCCATTGGTGCATGAATCATGCTCGAGTCTCCGAAGTCCGATGTAAATACATTTAATTATTATTTTTGAAAGATCTTATTCCCTTTTAGATGAAAAGCTTTTTCTTGATAATAAAAAATAACATAAGAATGCATTCTAGATAAACTTGAAACTTTCTCAGCGGGGCCTACTTCATTAATTCATTTGACAAGTTTTCTCAAATTAATTGCCACACTACTGTGATTCGATATTACGCGAAGTATCTTTGTACATTAGATTATCTACGAATCTCGTTACGATTAATCGATTGCTACGAATCTCGTTTTAACGAATGATCGATTGCAACGAATCTCGTTTTAACGAATAATCGATTATATCAAAGTCGTTTATTCTTAGTTCCCTGCCCAATGGCCACAACGTTAAATGAGTTGCTTTGCTACGAACTTTTTGTAAAAACGAAGCTATTTAACTGCTCCCAATGAAATTATCAAAGTAGAATTGATTTCACAGTTAAACCTCTCTAAGTCGAATTTCAAGGGGCCTGCTAAAAAATTCGACTTAGGGAGGTCAGGAATTTTATAGATTGGAACTGCAATACAAAGCCCTTTTTTCTGGAAAACTTGGAAAAAATGTGAATTTACATAATCTAAAGCTTAAATGGCTCCTTAAATGTGTTGAAAGGCTGCTGAACTTGGAGGCAGGGGTTCATTTCCCCAATTAAATCTTTTACTTCCTTTAAACACATAAATTTCTGTTTTTATTGTTTTTTTTCTTTCTTTTTTCAAGAAATAAATGGCCAACAGGCCACAGAAAATTCGACTTACAGAGGTTTGAGGGGAAAACCCTTCGACTTATAGGGAGGTTTTTTATGCATTGTTTCTAAGGGGATTCAGAGGGGATCTGAAAAAAATTCGACTTTGGGGGATATATGACTTAGGAAGGTTTGAGTTATCGAGGTTCACCTGTATATTGCACCATAACATTTCTTCAGAGGCAGCATATTAAAAAAATGACATACTGGATATAATTCAAATAATTTCCCCAAATAAAACATGCAGAAAGCAAAATATTTAAATCAAAGACCCAAATGAGTTAGCTCGCAGTCCTGTATTTTCCAGCCACATTGCAGCATTCATTCAAGAAGCTCATGTGATATTGATTACTTCCCCCAAACAAATTTTTGACCCACGTCTTGCTGATGTCATAAAATACGGTATTGGAAAGCTTCATGCATATTTGTGTGGATCAGTTTTTTCTTTTCTTTCACTTGGTGGGATATGAAATACAGTACTTATCCTTTTTCCCACTTTCATTCAAACGAGCTTATTGCGTTTCCAAACAGTATCTTCATGCGATAAGCAAGGAAGTCACAGCAACAGTCAAAGGCGCAAGCACGGAAGACATTGACAAAATATACATTGGATAAAGACTCCCAAGCTGCACATGGATATGTTTTTGTTTGTTTGAAAAGATGCATTCACTCTGTTGAATGACAATTAAAAGACACAGATACAAATCCCATGGTTAGAACAACAATTGTCCGGGGAAAAAAAGTCTGAACTTCAGGCTGTGTTGTGGAATATGTGTTGTGTGTATTGGACGTTTAATTGTCCACATTTGCAAATTATTTCTTTTTTGATTCTCGCTCAGACCATTAAACAATTTTCTTGATTGATAAAAAGACATCACGAGAAACAGGTAATCAATGCATTTGAAAGCAATCCCGCAGGAATTTTTCTCGGTATATACGGTAAATGCCTCGTCATCCTTCTTTTTAAAATGTTGATCAAAATTTGAAGGCATTTTTTCTTCGCAATTGTTATTATAGCTTCTCTCATACCAGCATTTTGTTTGCAGCGGATGTATTGCTCTTTTTCTACAACTTATTGAGGCAGAAATACTAAAGATTTAAAATTTTTTAGTCTTGCTCCTGGATTTTGGTTGTTCTGTGTGTGGTTTTGAGGTAAAAGTTCCGCAGATTTCGAATGATTCTGCTTGGCTCAGATTTTTCTTAGTCCACTTCGTCCTCTTCTTCATCCACGTAGTTGACGTACCTGAAAGTCCCTTCTTGCTTCTCCATCAGTGCCTGTGGAAATTTCAAGGAATGTTTTACAATAGTTCAATGCAATGTTCTGAAAATTTACGATTAAATGCTGATAGGATTTTATGGCAGATTATAATCCTAAGAAAAAGTTATTTATGATATTCCTTCACCAACAGCTGCAGCTGTATAAATTTTCACGAGGACAGCGCTCTTTTCAATCTAAAATCTGGAATATCTTACTGGAGTAATTTTTATGTAAACTATAGGTTCTCTGAGTGAAATTGAGGATAATTTGACTAAATTTCATCATGCTTGACATGATCAAATACGTATTCCACCCCAAGTTTAATCTGAAAAGACAAAATTATCCACGTGAAATTGATGCGATTGAACTATTCAATACGACACAAATTTCCTCTGCTTTGTTTTTGCAGTAAATTACGGTACCGCATATCATTTCGTTGATGATGACAAGAGGTACAGTTGCGTGAACAATAAAGTGCCCTAGTGCAATAAGTCCAATGTCACAACTTAAACATTCACAAAAATACTCTACTCCAATCTTTGATTATACTGTCGCGAATATTTTAACTGGTGTATTAAATTTGATACGCTAGCTCTGAGAGAACCCGAATTACCCAACAAATTTAGTCTTTCATTTGTATCTGTGTGGGAATCTCAAAAGACCTTGGTTCCCACAGATGGTCAGCAGCCTCCAAGGCTGTAATTTATTACAGATGTTTCTGCAGCCTTCAAGGCTGTATTTTGTTACCAAATTCCATTTGCCGTTTCTTGTCCTTGGAGGACAGTTTTCCTGTTTTCCAAGTTTGTATTATTTGACACAGTCCAAATCAAACACTCAAGTGTGAACGTTCTCCAAGATTTTGCAAGATTTTCTGTGTGAAGATATTATACCAACCTTAAAATAGGGTGTTTTGCACCCTGGTCATAGCCCAACCAAATTCTTGTGTTTTATTCCCAAATCCTTAGTTCAAAACTCTAAATTTAAAACCTAACCTTTTCTTTGTCGGGATTTATTTCCAACATATACACCGTAATTTGTTCTTACAGTTCTTTTGCATTCTTTGCAGAGACTTTGCAACAGAAGGAAAGATCAAATGTAAATTTAAATGAAACCTGCATGTGTGTTGACTGTTGAGCATAGAATAACCACCGTATGTACGACAGTTACAACCCAGTACTTTAATATCGAAAGAAAATTTGCATTTGTCTTGAAGAATTTGCTAGCGATTAATGTGGAATAGAACCTGTACGAGGGTTGTCACAGTTGGACTCGACCTCTAACATTTTTAGACTGGATGTGATGGTTGAAAAAAATCAGGACATGTGAAGTTCTAAGGTTTAGGGATTTTCAAGATTAAAAAAAGTCTTTCAAATTAATGCACAAATTAATAGCGAGAAAAATTCCAGCTACAGCCGGAGTTCTTCAACCACGTCACAGAGTGCCGAAAATTTGTCTCGACAGCTAAAAAAAATTGAATTTTTGTTGGTTTTGTTTTGTTTTATTATCTTTTCCGAATTTAAAATAATGACCAAAACAGCAACAAGTTCAGTTTGCTAATAATTTTAACCATTATCTAAAGCTCGGAAAAGGTAATGGGTAAAACAACCATTCTATTTTCTAGCTGCTTGCCTGACAAATTTTTAGCACCCTCGCTGTGACATGCATGGGCTGATAACTTTGGCTGTAACTGGAAATTCTTCACTTTGCAGTGAATTGAAAATTTTTTTTACAGATCCAAAAAATTCCTGACTACATCACGGGTTATGTACAGTACTTTTTTTTCAACAATCACACCTGCACTCTAGAAATTTAGCCGAGGTCGCGACCAACATTGGGAGAACCCTCAAATATTACGCACAGAAAAACGCCTGCGAATTTTCTGAAAAAAAAAATCAACAACAACAAAAACACCTCGGAATAATTAGGTCAAGTTTCAACATCCGAAAACTATGTGAGGCATACATGTCAGGAATAAACCCAACAAATGAAGAGTTAGACAGTGAACCTTAATTGAAAATGGAGTTGAGTATGAAAGTTTGAATAAAACTCAGAAATTCGGTCGGGCTGCGACCGGGGTGAGAACACCCTATTTCTTGGGCATTTCTCTCACCAAATTACCATCCATTCAGCTAATTAAAAAAAATTACCTCCAGCATAGAATGACTTCTACATTTTTTTTTCACTTGAATGTTATTTTTGTAGATGCCAAAATTTCAGTGTACAGTACAGAGATACACTATTCAATGCTCCAAATGTTTTTATTGAGATGAAAATGTCTTCACGGATTCAAATTCAAGTGGCAAACAATTTTTTTCAGGGAATTCTGCAGAATATTTCTTCTACAAAACACCAATTAAAAAGTATACAGTGTAAGTCTAAGGGAAAACAAGACTCGACTTAGGGACATTTCGACTTAGTGACACTCTTGATGCACCAATGACGTCCGCATTTCGGGGTCTCACTTTCAATATCTTGCGAAATATAGACCATATCTACGTTTCGAAAGGGCCACTTCTTCCCGGGGGAATATTTTCACTCGTTTTTACCCAGCACATACTATGTATGTAATACTGTACTGCAGTTATATAGAGAGCCTGACCTTGACTTCGCCGTCCATCGGCACGTTGCGAATGAAAAGCATGAGCGGGGCATACAGGAAGCAAAGGAAGGCCATGATGTACAGCATCCACTCGAAGCCTATGTTCTTGACCAGCTCTCCGGAAATGGCCGGACCAATGGCGAAGCCCAGGCAGAATGCCACGTCACCGATGGCGTACACGCTGCCGTACACTGACGAGTGTCGGACATCCACGATGTGGCCCAATTCGGGCATCATGGAAGAGTCGACCATTCCGATGGCGAAACCGAGTCCAGCGTTTGGCGCGATGAGGCCGACGATCGACGTCGCGTTTGGGATCTACGTGTGTATATATAGCAAGATATATATATATATAAATACGCACAGAGTTCATATGCCGAAAAATGTGCGTGGATATTGAAATTGGACACTTCAAAATTGCACAGCCCTATTTAGGAGGGCCGTATTGCCATCCTGATTGGCGGCTGTGAAGGCGGCTGCTGTGGTCAATTTGTTTCAGTTAACCCTCGATTTAATGCAACCTGCAAAATTTATTTTAGTGCTACCCTCGCTTTGCACCACAATAAAGGCCATCTCAACAAATTTTCCCTTATTAATACGTTGATATCTTTTATACTATCGCAATTTTCTTGGCAATAAGCAAGGGTGGCACTAAATCAAGTATTGACTGTAAAAATGCAGTACAGTACTGTATTTCCGTCTCCATTTATTTTATTTTAAATTTTCCTCAAGAAGCTATAATATGGAGCCCTTTTTGGTAACTTTTGATGGAGCACCAGTTGAAAACCACTTGCACAAAACATGTTTTAGAAGTCTATTTGATGATCTCACCTGAGTCAAACATATGCCGATAATGACCAGGCCCAACAGGGACGCCAACCACCTGCAGAAAACCAAAATCGAAGCCAGGGTCGTCTCAGATTCGACGTGATTCTCAAGAAATAAATCACGAATACGTGGATCATACCAGAGAAAACGGAATACGTTTAAATTTTAGTAAAATCTACCTTCCAAGGCGGTGTCCGAGTGGTCCAAACAAATTGGTACCGATCAAATAGGAGATCGAGGCCGGCAAAAATGCAGCACCGTGTTGCCACACTGGGGCTTTCATGGTGTCACGCATCCACAACGGCAATGAAGGCTCTAGCATCGCAATTCCCATGTTTGCAAATGTGATTGCTCCTGTATTTAATAAAAAAATTACTCTTGAAATATCAAAAAAACTTCGATTATATTGTACTGTATATACAATTTATTGATTAGCATATCAAGCTTTCATACTAAACTCATCTCTCCGCAAACTGCAAAAATTTTGTGGTGAACCTCGCAAAGTTGTGTCATTTAGAATGTGCTCATGAAAAAAAATTCAAAGTCTAAGGAGTGTTCAAATTTTTTCTCGCGAAATTATTATGGTTCGGCCCCAATAAATCCGGCTATGGCATCAGCAATAGGCGATAAAATGAAACACTGCAATTTTAAAACATATTCTTGCATACAAAATTTTACGAAAATGGAAATTAAAGCGTCCGCGAAGAATTCCTTGTCATTGTACAATACTGTATTCTTTTTTTTCACTGTTCGCTTGCTGAGGCGAAAAGGAAACAAAGCTAATTCCCCCCCTCCCTCTGGAAAAGTTAATTTTGGCTCCTTAGCTTAACAACTTCATTTACGAAATTAAATTAGAAACAACTCAAATTTTCAGAGGCTCGAGAAATCACCTGCGACAACCATGATGTACGGATCCTTCAGCAACTGTTTCAATGACGGAGCTGGGACTTCGTCTGCCATTACTTTTGGCTGCAGCACCAGGAGCTGCAAAACTTGACGTGCCAAAAAAAAAAAAAAAAAAAAAAGAGCAAAATTTTT